TGGAACCAAACACATAAAGAAAAAGAATATTATTAGAACAAGTTATATCCATTTATTTGTTAATGTCACAAACACTTACTGAGTACCCACTATGCATTATGCAAAGTGTTAGGGGCTGGGTATTAAAAGATGGATGAGCTTAAAAATACAGTAGGAGAGGGAGATGTAAATATAATGGTAATATAATGTATCCAAAGCAATAGTAAAGGTATATACTGGATACAATGGTGGCAACATTGGTCCTCTAAACTCAGGATGGGCCACAGGATGTTTTTTTCTGATGTGGCATTTGACTACAAAGCCTACTTCTCTGGGTACCGGTGGTGGAGATGTTTCCAGAGGAACAATAAGCAGGAAAAGTTTGAAAAAAAGATTAAAAGAAAGGGCATTTCAAGAAAAGTAAATAGCTCCCACAGATGAATGGAATTAGAAAACAATGTAAAGTGTGTGGGATACCATAAATAGTTCGGTGTAAATAGGGTTGTATGGCAAATGGGAAACCAATGAAGATAGAGAGGGAGGCAGGATTCAGATGGTGGAAGGATTTTTTATATTATTCAAAGGGGTTTTGATTTTATCCTATAGGCAATAAGGAACATTTAGAGAATTTTAAACTAGAAAGTATCACAGTTAAATCTTTATTTTTAAAATGATTATTAGTTGGTAAATTAAAGATAATATTAGAAAATAAAAATATTACCTGAATGAAGTCTATATGGTCTTTTTCTTTATCTAGCCATGGAACATGATACAGAACTTCTTCAACAGTAAGAGGCTTGATAACAGATTGAAACTCAAGCACTTGTCTTTTTTTGGTCAAGATGAACTAAAACCAAAAATTTAAGAAAGGAGATGAACTGAACTGCTGTTTACAGAATGTTTAAAACAACTGTGTCTTTCTACTATTCCCTATTCTTGATCTTCTGAGATTTTTGTTCTTCCATGAAAACCTCTAACCTCTTTCCTTTTAAGGATTTTTTTTATCTCTTTGTATGATCATTATTCCGAAGTCACAGATTAAACTATTAAAACTAAACCTTTTTACTGAAGTATAGCCAATGTGAAAAAAAGTGTACAAATAAATGTTCACTGAAAGATTATTTACAAAGTGAAAACATCAGCACCCAGATTAAGAAATAAAATATTTGCTACCCTAGAGTCCTCCCTTATGTTCTCTTCTAATCACTACTTCTACCCAAAGATAACCACATTCTTCTACTATCATAGTTTATCTTTTTCTGGTTTTTAGCTTTATCTTCATGAAATATACTTGCTTGTATTTGGGTTCCTTTGCTCAACATGTTTTTGAGATTCATCTATGGTGTTACATATAGCAAAAATTCATTCATTTTATTTTCATTGTATAGTATTATGTTGTATGGATATTCCACTGCTTTATTTATCTACTGCTGATTGACATTTGGGTTGCTTCAATTTGGGGCTTTGACAAGTAATGCTGCTATGAATATTTGTTTACATATATACACATTTCTATTGAGTTTATGGTTATCTAATCTAACTCCTGGGTCATAAGATGTGGATATGTTCAATTTTTGTAGATACTGCCAAACAATCTTCCAAAGTGGTTGCATCAATTTACATTCCTACTCTAATGTTTCAGTTGTCCCACATTGTTGTCTACACTTGATATTGTCAGTTTTTTAAAAAATTTAGGTACTCTGGTGATTGTATACTTGTATTTCATTTTGGTTTTAATTTGCATCAAGCTTATGACAATGATATTTAGCACCTTTCCTTATGCTTATTGGCCATTTAAAATACCTTCTGCTGCAAAGTACATTTTCAAATCTTTTTGAAACCCATTAAAAACATGGATTTTCTGCCTGTTTTTATTGATTTGTAAGAGATTTCTTTGTATATTCTGAGTATGAGTCCTTTATTGGAAATATTTATCGTGCAAATATCCTTTCTCAGTGCATTGTCTTTTAATTCTCTTAACTTTTTAATAAAGAACAATTCTCAATTTTAAAATTATTTAAATCCAATTTTGTGCCTTGTTTAGGAAATCTTTGCCTATGCCAAAATCATGAAAATTCTCTTATGTCACCTTGTAGAAACTTATTGTTTTACCTTTTACAGTTATGTCTATAATTTATCTGGAATTGATTTTTTGTGTATAAGATAAGGGTTCAGAATGAAATAGTAGAACTCTACACAAAAATTCCCAAAAAATTATGAGAAAAAATTGAAACATAATTGAATGGAGAGATATCATGTAAATAGATTGAGTCAATATTACAAAGATGTCAATTCTACCCAAATTGATATACAAGCTTAATAGAATCCCAATGGGAATTTCAGTAGGCTATTTAGTGGAAATTTCCAAGCTGACTTTAAAATTTATTTGAAAGTACAAAATGCAAAAACTAGTTAAAATAATATTGAAGAAAAGAACAAAGCTGAAAGAGATACACAGTCAAATATGAAGATTTACTAAGTTTCAGTAATCAGGACACTGTGATTTAGTTCAATGATAAAAAAAATTAAACAATAAAACAATAGAACAAAAAAGAGTCCAGAAACTTATCCACATCTACACAGTCACTTAATTTATGACAAAGGCTCCAGTACAGTGCAATGGAGTAGAATGGTCTTTTCCATAAATGATGCTGGGTCAACTGATTATTCCTATGGGAAAAGTGTTAATGTTAACCTCGCATTGTTAGGTAAGGCATTCTAAGTAAGTGGCATTGCTCCTGTTCACTATTTCTATTTCCTGCAAGGTAAACTTTCTTCATAATCAGATATATTGGTCTTGGTTTTCTAAGTTCAAAGTTCTCCTACACATATCTCTTTCTATTTTTGGATTTTTATAGTGTTACATTTCAGAGCATGGGTTGTAGAATTAGAATGCCTAGATTAGAATACTGTCTCCATACTTACTAGCTCTCTGACTTTGGGGTAAGTTATTTAATCTTTCTGTGCCTCAGTTTCCTCTCTTATAAAATGGGGCAAGAATAGTATCCTAGTAATAGGGTTGCTGTGAAGGTCAAGTGAGTAAG